GGTAGGTCGAATACCTAAAAATCATCCTTTAAAAGAGTTTTTCAGAAAACATCGTTTAAAAGATAAACTGATCTGCGTTTTAAACAAAAATTCATTTTTTTAATGATAAAAAGGGATTCGTGGTCGGTTACATTTAGGGAAGGATTAGCACCCCTACAACGCCCAAAATTGGTACTTTTTAATTATACATTGTCTCTATTATTAGAAATTTAAGAATTCAAAATATATTTAATTTATAATCCTATTATTTTAAAATTATAATTATGAAAAATATATATTAATTTATATATTTATAAATAAAATATTTATTTATTTAGAAATATAAGAAAAAGACTTCTAGGTGCCTTAAGACATCTCTTTTCTTTGATATTAAAAAATAAATAAATAATTAAAACAATTAATATATAATTTATAAAATAAGATATTTATTTATTTAAAAATATCAGAAAATGGACATCCAGTTATTTTAAGACTGCCATTTCTTAATATTAAAAAATAAATAAATATATATTAAAATATGATTATTAAAAAGGTAATTTATGAAATATAAGATTTTAACTAATAAATAAATATTATTTATTATATATATATATATATATATATTTATATAAATAATAAGAATAATAATAAAAAGTAATAATAATAATAAAATAATATTGCAAATAATAATTAAAAATATAATATTAAAATATAAAATAAAAATAATAATCAAAAATAAAATTTGAATGATTAAAATATAAAATTATAAAACTAGAGTACTAATTCGAAATATATAAAAGATGGGCATTAAGAAATGTAATTTAACCATAATTCATAATACGAGATTAAAATAATAATTAATAAACTATGAGGGACTAAATTTGATATTTTTCTATATATATATATATATATATATATATATATACTGATAAGGACTAAATTAAAATAAAATAAAATTAGAAGACTAAATTAAAATAATAAAAAAATTACTTTCAATGACTAAATTGCAAGGTATACAAATTTGGAGTACTGCGGACGAGGTTTACCCTTTATGAAATTACAGAAATACCCTCCCCAAAACGGCGTCGTTTGGGAGAGGGTATTAATACCCGAAATAGGGCCAGCCTCTCATTTCTTCCTTTCTCTTCTCTCTCAAACAGAGAGAGAGCCAGAGTTCTCTCTGGCTTCTCTCTAAAATGAGAGAAAGTCGTCCCGGTCAGCCACCGTTACCAGGCTCCGACCACCGCTGCCGGCCACCGTTAATGGTGGCCGGAAATTACAAAAATTCACCAAAATATAGATCGGGACGATATAAAACCGTTTCCGTTGTTCTTTTTCCTTAAAAAGCTCCCAATCGGAGCAAATCTACGAAAGTACCTTCGGTTTTCGTTGTTTCCGGCGACGGTTGGGGTTCTCTGATGACAGAGTAAGTTTTTTTCCTCTCTTCTCTCTTTTTTTTTGTTGCTGTGTTGTTGGTGACTGGGATCGTTGGTAGTTTTTTTTTGTATCTTGTTTCTATTCTGTTTTTTTTTGCTCTTCGTCCTCTGTCTGGTTTTTTGTTTTACAGGATCCGATGGCTTTTATAGCCACCACCGGTGATGGCTTCAGACCGGTCCCAATGAGGTTGCTTAGGTGAGTCACCATAGCTATGGTGGTGCTCACCGTATAGCTCGACATGTGGAGGGGTATTTGGGTCTTCTGGAGCCTTCTGTTGAGGCATCGTGGCAGAGTAGACCGTCGGCAGCATCTGGTTGGGTCACCTGGCAGTGGAGTGTCGGCAATGAGCGGCGGCTGTGGCTTTTGGAAGCTTGAGGCGGCGGATGGAGCTAGGGTTTAGAAACCCTAGCTAAAACCCCAAATGTTTAAGGGTTTCCTTTTGGGTCTGGGTCAGTTCTGGTTGGGCCTGGGATTTGGGCTTGTAATTATTTTTTTAATAATAATAATAATATATATAATTATAATAATAATAATAATAATAATAATAATAATAAATAAATAAAATGGGTAAAAAATTAGTATCTTCAGAATGAAAACGAAAATTGGAGATGAGACAATCACAGAAGACTCGATGATCCTGGGTTTGACGACTATCAGGTACAATATGGGTTTTCATCGATGAAGCATTTCATGAAACCATCATCCTTGAACTTTCTCAAGAAAAACTGAGATAAAGGGTATGTTTGTTTCGCTGTATTTGATTTTTTGGAATTTTTCCCTCCTTTTCCAGTTTTTGGTTGGTGAAAAATAGAAGATCAACGTAATTCATTTTCCTAGTCAACAGATTTCCTTTGCATTTTCTGAAAAAATGACTTACGGATTGATTTTTCGTAAGTTGTTTTTCAAAATTTTCACTTCAAAACATAAATACTCAAAATAATATTATTTTATATATTTAATATTAATATAGTATTTTAGTACCATTTAAATGAAAATATTAATTATTAAAATTTATTATTATTATTAATAATATAATATAATATTTTAATAATATATAATAAAATTATTTTTATTTATTAATTTCATAAAATAATATTAGTAAATTATTATATATATAAAATACATTTATCAATAATTTTTTAGAATATAATATAATGTTTTTATTTTAATATTCTCATGTTTAATATTATAATAATATCCTTAATTTAATAAGTAATTAATCTAATTAATAATATAACATTCCTATTTTAATAAATAATTAATATAGTTTATAAAAAATTATTTTAATAAAATATAATATTATTAATTTTTTTATTTATTAAATTTTAGAAATAATATATACAAATAATATTAATCAAAATAATTCAATATTTTAAAATTAATAATATTAATTATTTTCTAATAAATAATATTACTTGTTATACTAGATATTTATAATAAATAATTTTTAAAAAATTTACCAAATAGTAGAAAATGACATACATCATCCAAACAACATAAAATAATTTTTAAAATTTATTTTTAAAAAAATATAATTCATTTTACGAAATTTAATTTCCGTAACAAACGTACTTAAAAATGGTTGTTGGGGGCATTAAAATGTTGCCTTTTAGCTTTGTGAAAGCCCCATAGAGGAAGAGGAAGAGGAAGAGAAAGAGGAAGAGAAAGAGGAAGAGGAAGAGGAAGAGGAAGAGGAAGAGGAGACAATTGCATACAAGGTGGAGTTAAAAAATAGGTCAGTTTTTGTCCTATGTGTGACCAAACGATGTCAAACAAATTAATTTAACGTGTGACATCATATATACTTATATTATTAGTTCATGACTGTTAACAATCAAGTTAACATTAATGATCGTTTCGTTACTTTTAAAACTTTACTACTAGAAAAAGAAATTTACTCATACTTTAGTGATCATTCATGAAATTTACCCTTAAAAATTACTAAGAGTATAATTTTAATATGAGTAAAGTACATAAATGATCCCTCAATTATAGAGTACTACTTTATTAACTTCCCAAGCTATAAAAAATTACAAAATGACCCTCAACTATAAAGTGTTATTTTGTTGAGTCAATCGATTCGGCAATTATTTGAGCTGGAAGTCAATCTACTGACCGATATATTATAAAATCTTATTTTAATGACGTCTATTGGCACCGCTTTTGCTTTTAAGCACTAACTTGACTACATAATATTTTAAGCACTAGCTCGACGACATAATATAAACGCTGAATCGATCCACAAAATATAACTTAAACAATTATGAAATTAGATTTTATCATCTTATTCAACAAGTTAATGTTCAACTTAGATGATCGCCAATTTTTTAACATAAAAGGACGAGTTTGAAATATATGAATAGTCAAATAACTATTTTATAATTTTTAATAGTTGGGAACTCAACAAACAATGTCATATAGTCGAATTTTTTTTATAAATTTTAATAATTAAAATTTTTAAAAAAATAATATCTTATAATCGAAGGGCTATTAGTAAACTTTACTCTTAATATTTACTCATAATTTACCCCTTTAAAAATTTACATGCTTTTAATTTATTTTTAAAATAAAATGAAAATTTTTCCCGATTTGATATTAAAAACAGGTGTCACTCGTGCAATTACCATCCCCAACTTCCTTCTTCGTATTCTCTCGCTTTTTCTTCTTTATTCATTTTCTTACGATCCGCGGCCTTCACAGCCTCGTCGATCGCCTCCACTCCATATTTTTCAATCTCGCCATCTGATCAAACGCTGAGGTATCGATATTCTCTCTCTCTCTCTCTCTCTCTCTCTCTCTCTATCTTCTCTTCTTCTTCTTCTTCTTATTATTATTATTTTATTTTAATTTTAAATTAGACAAGCCTATTTATGATTTTTTTCTCTTTCTAGGGTTTCGTTAAAGAACAACTCCCCATTTCCATCTTATCTCAGGCAAGGGATTCCATGTTTTTTTATTTTTATATCCTTCCCGATTATATGTATTGCTTATAATCCAGAATTTGCTTTCTTCCCGCGAAGCAAGCATTCGATAAGAGAAAACCGTGGTCTTCCTGATTTATCCACTATCCGATGTTTATTTTAATCGGGCTGTGATTTGATCTTCTTGGGAACTAAAATAACTGGAAGCCATTTTGTTCGGTTTAACTTTTTGTAGGCCTTAAATAATTTTTTCAGCTTTCTACTTTAAACGGTGATAATACTTTATTGATGTAATTGTTTTATTTCCTTTCTGTTTATATTTTTAATTTTTGGTGTAGTAAAATGAAATAAAGAAGTTTTATGATATTAGGGAGAGTAGAAAAATGAATATAAGGGTTGGCTGCAGATATAGCTACTACTGATGTTAGTGAAGAAGATGTTTATGTGACGGGTATAGCGTTGAGAAGTGTTTATTAAGTGCCGTGGAAAGGGATGAACGTTGAACTTGGAGAAGGGTGATTTTGGGACAGTTGTAAAAGTGAAGAGAATGCAAAGCTACTGGACATGGGTTCCTAAGAAGTCCCTTTTGGCAGTGTACTCTTTTGTTCACCTTGAAATGCAATATTGCATGGATGGAGAGAAAAGAAGTAAACTATAAATGGTGGTTGCTCAACTGATACTTGGAGTTTGTTGGATATTAGGTTTCTTTTGAGTTTCACTAATGAAGCAGAGAGTTTAGGGGTGAAATATAGATGCTAAACCAACAATATGCTCTCCATTTTTGATTGGTGAATGATTATTTGCTTTGGTGGTTTTACATGAGAATTTTTTTGTTCACATGCTGAGTTAAAACTTAAAATGTTGGAAGTGCTTAATGAAGATAATTTGGATGGACTGTGACAAATAACACATTTTCTGGTGGTTCTAAGAGTCAAAGATTAAGGTTTAATTTTATGACCATTGATCTTCAGGTTTGAGGTGTTTGTTTGGCCATAAATCTTTGGAGTTTGAGAATCTTTTTGCTATGTTTGGTAATTCCGTTTCTTGAGAGGAGTACTAGTGCTGCCTGTAGCCCTAGCTTGATTGATTTTCGTTCATTCCTAAAGATAGGATTTAGAAAGTTGGCTTGTGGGTTTTATAAGTTAACGTATGAGAAGACTGAAATGCATGCTTATGCCCTCTGTATGTGAATTTTTTGGTAATCTTGGGAGAATTGATAAATGATAAAATTTCATTGACTAAGATTTGTTAGTTTGCAAGTAGATGAAAGGAGACGCAGTATGTTTACCAGTTTTCCTATGTAAAATTATGTTTATTGGTTTTCATAATTGTGAAGGCTGGAAATATAATGAAGTTGGAGTTTTATGCTAACCTATTAGGTGCATTCAGTTTATGTCTTCTGCCATTTGTGTTTTTCCAAAATCATGTCCTTTTTCTTTTGGTTTTTTTTCGTTACTCTGTATATAATAGTATTATGATAATGTAACTTCTTTTTTACAGCAAAGCCTTCAAACACTAATTTTATGTGATGATTTTTTTTCAAAAAATATCCAAAGTTAACATTTTTTGTAATCTTTTTATTCAAATTTAAAAATTAGGTTGATTTCTATTTTCCCAAGGAATATGAAGCCAAAATTTCAAGAGATAAAATTAAATATTTATGTTTTTAGTGATTTGAAAGTACCACAAATAATTTATATCTTGCTATGATTGCTGGTACACCTAGCTAGCGTAAAAACTCTTACATTCTGTAACTTTTAGGTAATTGTTGTCTTCCCCCTTCCATTTTACCGTGTACAGTTCTGTTTTTCTTTTCTGACTATCCTTGCATCAGCACTCAAGTACCCGTTATGTGTTGATTACTCTGTTTTCTATATGCTATGAGTTCTTTGCAGGATCTTGACCTATAATGAACTGGATTTCAAGGGATTGATGTTGACTTTCTGCTTTTAGGTTCCTAAATTAACACACAACACACCGATCAACATATAGTGAATATCTTTTCTGGGCCGAGATTTGCATACTACTATTATCTAATTGTTGGATATTCCATGTAGCTTATTCTGCTTGTTTGCAACAATATATTGTTCCCATTTGAAATTCTGTTTTACCCATTGCAAAGTGTTCAAATGATGGAAAATAATTGTTCTTTCTTTACAGATGTTTCTGTCTGTTTGAATGACCTTGCAACAAAATCTGAACCATGACATCAAGTTCGCTATCTGGAGAGCGGAGGTAATTTTGTTTTTAGGAATCTTCCTTTGCTGAGAAACTTCTCTGTTTGGCAGTGGTGCTTCCTTTTTAAATTCGACCATGTATACTCTCCTACTTGGCATGAGTTGTTGGTATATTGACTGAAACTGCAAAAAATAAGTGATGTTTGCTACTCGGGAGTTGCTTAACGTGCAAAATCAGAGAGAGTCCTGGCTTAACTGATTAGATATGTTTGAAATCTAATTCTGTATATTATATTTGATTGACTTAGGCAATTTTGAAGTAATTCAAGCGGATGAGGAAATTATAATGATTATTGTAACTATTTAGAATTGCAAGTTGGTGGGGAATTGTTTTGAGAGGTTTCTCTTTAAGAATTATTGCTTTCAAAAAAGGTTGAAGAACGATGTTTCTTATTGTCTACAAATGATTTTTAGTAGTCTTCTCAAGGGGAAAGAATCATAGTAGGTGCTAGAACATTATTTTGCTTTAGGTACAATATGCAAGAAAAAAGGGGGGCTACTTTACTGAAGGTGCAACATGTTGTGCACATATATATAACTAAAACAAGCTAAAAGTATATGATCTTGGTAATTAACCCTAAAGCTCTGTTGCTTGGACATCCATTTTGGTGCCATTCGCATGTCGACAATGAGTGGGTATGGGATATGTGTTGGATTCCTTGGATACGACCTCTATTGATTTGGAGGAGGAGGAGGAGGAGGAGGAGTGGAACGATGAGGAGGAGTGGAACGATGAGGAGGAGAAGAGCGGATAAAAAAAATAGTAGATTAGAAAGGAGCCTAAGGACAGATCAGAGAGCAAAAAGTAGAAGTAGAAGAAACAGCAGCTGCAATGCTCAAAAGGTGATTATGACTATATTGAAAAGTGATTTTGGCCTGGGCTTGAAATAATCATAATTTGGGCCTGGGCTCGAGGAAAAGAAAGAGATGAGACGATAAAATAGCAAAGAGAAGGGAAAAAGAAGTGAAATTTAGGCCTGGACTTGAAAAGTATGGCCTAAAATAAATTCCGTCCAAATAAATCTAGTCCAAAATATTTTTTATTTCTTATTAATGAATCAAAATCTCTGAAAGTTGCTAATAATTAAAAATATTTTTATAAATTAAATATTTAAAATGAAATTTTAGTTTTTACAAAAAAAAATATTAAGAATCTTATTTAAATAGAACCCTAATGTATTATATATTTTGCAAATATTTAATAAGTGAAATAAGTACCACTCCTGAATTCTTTTATTTGATCCTTTTGAGCCAAATCTCCTTGTCTTAGGTTCTAAACAATTGATGAGCAAGACACCTCGATGTGTACCAACACTAGGTCTAGAGAGTGGTCCAATTATCTACCTAACATGCAATTTTATTTCTTTCGTTGGCCAATATTCATGATTTCCTTATGGTTCCATGTTTGTTGTTGAATGCTCAAATATTGAGAAGTAGATTTTTTGATTCCCTTTCTTACTGATAAAGGTACAACTAATGAAACGAGTTATAAATAGAAGAAATTGAAGAGAACTTCTATAAGGCTTGGCCTTTTTGATGTTTATTACCTAACAAAAGCTTGTGGCTAGTTGGACTTGGTGTGTGCTTGATTAATACACCAGAAAAGGTTTAGGTGCTTTTGCTGTTTTGTGCTGGTTGCAGCATCTAGGTCACTCCTTATCCTTACAGAGTTTTACAGTGATCACAGAAAGTGTTACACCTTGTTTGTTGGTATAATCAGCCTTTTTACTGTACTGTTTTGCCATTTTCTGCTTCTGTATGGTTATCACTAATGAATGGTTCTTGGCTTATGTGTTGCAATTCAAATTACTTTTTATTTAAGATGCTAATTTTTCTGCAGATGGGCTTCTGCAAGACGAAGTGGCATGACTGTTTTGGGAAAAGTTGCTGTTCCGAAACCTATAAACTTACCTAGTCAAAGGTACTGCTTTTTCCAGTGTGCATGTTATTCTCTCTCTTTTTTTTCAAGGTTAAATAAACAAGATCCTTGACTTTAAAATTTCCTTGTTTTCTGTTGCTTCAAGGTTAGAAAATCATGGTCTGGATCCTAATGTGGAAATTGTACCCAAGTGAGTAGTACCTTATCTAAATGTCTTCTCTCTTCGACCCCTATGGTGATTTCCATATGGGGAACGTTGTTTGGATGGCAGAAATTCTTATCAGTAGCTTTGATTCTTCTATACGTATAGGGGCACTCTTAGTTGGGGGAGTAAATCATCTGCTTCATCAAATGCATGGGGCTCCTCGACACTGTCTCCAAATACCGATGGTGGTAGCAGTTCACCTAGCCATCTAAATGGCCGCCCTTCATCTGGTGGCAGTGGTACACGACCTTCAACCGCAAGTAGTGACAGAGCACCTGAATCTACTAATGCTCGGGGTTCGGATTCTAGACCATCATCATCTTCTGGGCCATTGGCTTCAAATCAGACATCAAATGCATCATTGCGTCCTCGAAGTGCAGAAACAAGACCTGGCAGCTCTCAGTTATCACGGTTTGCTGAACCTGTTAATGAATATTCAGGGACTTGCGGTGGAACTGGGACAGCTGAAAAATTGGTATGGTCATTAGTCAATGAGTTCATTGGTAAAAACTGATTTTAACCATATGGTTGCTTATATGTAAAATTTTGGCTTATTGCTATTTAGAATCTGGTTCAGTTAGAGTTTCAAGCACATTATGTACTCAAGGTTCTTTTCTGATAAGTTGTTATTGGGTGCTTGCTACATGCTGTTGTGGCATTGGTTTAATGTGACTTCTGAATTCGATAGTTTGAGGTGGCGAAGTGTGAGATGTTTTAATATTTTAGGATTTGACTAACTTGATCCATTTTATATGCTTCACGTATCCAGCCCCTTCCAAGTATTCTACCTATGAAGTCATTATGTTATTCTCTCTTGCAGTTTGCTCTTCTGTGTCTAAATGCGACAGTTACGATTGTTCATTGCAGGGAATGTCATCTTCCAAGAATGATGGGTTTTCTCTTACTTCTGGAGACTTTCCTACTCTTGGGTCTGAAAAGGATACCTCTGGGAAAAACACAGAGTTGCAAGGTTTTCATGTTTTTATTTTTGTTAGTTATTTCTAATAATGTGGTTTAAACGTTGGTTTTCTTTCAAAACTTTACATGAGTTTGTATTCTCAAATGAACCTTTTCTCCAAGAGAAAACTTGCTATTCACTTATTCCAGAAAAAAAATGCTGCACCAAATTCTGAACTTTTAGGTTCAAATATTTGTAGTGTAATCCCTGTAAGGCATGTAGTTCTATATTGAAAGCTTGATGATTTTTTGCTGAAATCTTTTTACTAATAAACAACTCATATTGGACCTAACAAGGTATTTGTATTGTGTATTTTAAATGTTGACTGAGCTTGGATTAGCAAATAATTCCCCATCTCCAGGCTGTGATATTGATATCAGTTACTGTTATGTATTTTCTACTTTGATTTAAAGCTAGATTAATCACAGAATAATATATGGATTTATGTTCTTGAGTGGGCTATTTTTTTCTGTTCCTTCTCAACTCGATTAACTTTGACTGCAGAGCATGGTGCTCAAGGTCGACCTGGCTCATCCTCTGGAATACCATCAATGAAAGAGAGGACTGGGAATTCTGTTGTTGGTTTGTGTGCAACTTTCTGTTTCCATCATTTTTGTTTGCTATCAACTTTTTTTATATTGGATATTGGCACTCTGATATGATTAAGTTTATGCATTTTTTTTCAGTTGACATTTCTGGAAATGAAAATCAAAAGAGTGGAGCTGCAAATTTTTGGAGAAGAGAGAATCCTCCATATAGTGAAGATGGAGTCCGGCCAAGCATGGAGAAGTGGCATGCAGATCCCCAGGGACCCCATCCATACCCTAATACTGCTATTCCTCCTCAGCATTATGATGCTTGGCATGGTCCACCCATAAACAATCCAGGTGGTGGTTGGTATAGAGGGCCTCCTGCAGGGCGGCCTCCATATGGACCACCAGTTCCACCTGGGGGATTCCCCTTGGAGCCATTTCCTTACTATCGGCCTCAGATTCCAGGTAGTGCTCTTGCTAATCCACGGCCAGTTCCTCCTCCGGGAGCAGGGCCAAGGGGACCTCATCCAAAAAATGGTGATATGTACAGAGGCCCCATGCCTGATGCTTTTGTCCGCCCGGGTATGCCAATTAGACCTGCATTTTACCCTGGTCCGGTGCCTTATGAGAGCTACTATGGTCCTCCCATGGGCTATTGTAGTTTAAATGAGCGAGAAATGCCATTTATGGGAATGGCAGCTGGTCCTGCTTATAATCGGATCCCAAGTCAAAATACTCCTGATCCTGGTGGTTCCCATGCCAGGCCCAGTAGCAGTGGCTATGGTCCTCCTGGAAAAGCACCTGCTTCAGAGCATTTTGAATCTGGCCATCCTCATGATACACGAGGACGATACAAGGTTCTTCTGAAGCAGCATGATGGCTGGGAAGGAAAGGATGAACACAAGTTAGAGGATACTGTGACAAGTGTAGAGAAGGGTGATCTAAGGAGAACATCATCGTGGGAAAATGATTGGAAACCGGATCAGAGAAAGGAGGAAGAAGAGAATATGAGGACAGTTGTTGAAGAAGCTTCCACTCAGATTACCGACTACCATGGAAGGGATTCTATCTCGTCCAAAGTGAAGTCATCTGAAGGTGTAAAAAAAGCTAGGGCACATTGCGACATTTCATCAAAGAAAATAGAGCATCCAGAAGACCCTGGTGCAACAAAAGATTCCAGTCTGATTCAGAAAAGAGAGATTTTAAATGCAGAACCTCATGCCTCTGATGGAGGTTATGAATCTGTCTGCAGAATGGAGCAAAAACATAAATCGCAAATAGTTAATGCAAGGGTGAACCATTGTGCAAATGAAGTTACTACTGGTTCTCGTGCTGTATTTCATGATAGAATGCCCGCTTCTGGAATGACTGGACCTACTAATGAAGTAGGTGTTTCATATGGAGATAAGAGAATGGATATGCCAGCTATTGGTGGAGCAGGCATCAGCAGGTTGGTTTTCTTTCTAGCTGCATATATTGGATAATTTGCTTGTGGCTCTCACGTACTGAAACATTTACAGGAGATCTACCCATGGTAGGCATGGTAGAACTGATCATCTAGGCCAGGAAAGATTCAACTCTGAAGATGTTGATGGATGGCGAAAGAAACCAACATTTATAGATTCTTCAAATGTAAAGTCCGCACGTGTTGAAAACCCTTCTGATGCTAATGTGGGAGACCATGTGTCATTAGAGGCTTTAGAAAAGTCTGGATCATATTCCCAAACAGGGGATGAGGGTGAGTTGATACCTCCTGTGTATGATCGAAGTGATAGCGAAGCACAGGTAATTTTCTTTATATCATATGCCTCATTGCTTTTAACCTAAATTTAATGTGCAAATTTATTTGACATTTTCTTCAGCGTGCTATGAAGAGGGAACTTGCTAAGCAGCGTGCCAAACAACGACAAAAAGAGGAGGAAGAGCGGGCTAGAGACCAGAAGACTAAGGCTCTGGCTAAACTGGAAGAGTTGAACAGGCGAACACAAACAGCCGAAGGTTTAACTCAGAAGTTGGAATCTGATCCACATATGGCTGTCCAGAGTAAGCAAGAAGAATCCAGAACACTTGTTGATGAAATGCTCCCTAGAAGTTCTGAATCAACATGCATGGTTTCTAGCCCAACTATAGCTGTAGATGTTGGTCAAAGCAGCACTGGGGAACTTGAGAAGCTCACTGTTTTGTCCAATCAACAACCCCTGGTGTCAACAAGGAATTCTCACAAGGAAACTGCAGAAATGCATAACCGTTCTTTGCCCTTGCAAGAGAGAGTTAGTAATGTTGATGCTGCTATCCATGATCACCCACAGGTTAGCGATGGGATCACTTTAAAGCAGAAACATGTGGGCAATAGGAAAAAGGATCCTAAATTATTGGATAAGAGTCCCAGTGAGAATTATATTACTACAACAGAATTGTCAAATATTCATACTGATGCAGTTGATGTGGCTCCATCTTCTGAGGCTGTTGCAAATGAAATTGACTCAATCTCTGTGTCGATTTCTACGCAAAATGTTGTGAATGAGTTCTCAATGAACCAGAAAAGGAAAAATAACAGGAGTGACAAGAACAAATACAAAGGGGAGGAGGCATCATCTATGGCTCCTTTATCATCTGGGGTTTCAAAAGAAACAAATCATGCACGGTCTTCTGCTGAGGGTTTGAAGCCCAAGTCTTTTGAACCAAAGTTGGATCCGAACTCATTTCAGTATCCGACTGAATCGAAGGATGGAAATCAGACTTCAGCACAAGACTTTACTTTTCCTCGTGAGGAAGCATATGGTAAAGGGAATAACCAGTGGAAATCTCAGCATTCTCACAGGATGCAACGAAATCCACAAGCTAATAAATCTGCAGTCCACAGCAGTGATGCTGTTGTCTGGGCACCTGTGCGGTCACAGAACAAAGCTGTGGTTGCTGAAGAGGTCAGCCATAAGTCAACAGTTGGGAATGTTGCTCCACTGGAAAAGAATGATGATCAAGTGCAGAACAATCCCAGAAACAAGAGGGCCGAGATAGAGAGATACATCCCGAAGCCTGTTGCAAAGGAAATGACTCAGCAAACAGTAGCTCATACGGACAATCAGTCTGCAGCAGATGAGATCGTGGGAAGAGCAGATATTGGGTCCCATGGAATTGGATGTTCTCAACATTCAGGCACATCCACAGGGACAGTGAGGAACACTACTGAGTCTGGGAATGAGGGTAGGCAGGGAAGAGGACATGGATCTTGGCGCCAACGCGCATCAGCTGAGACAACTTTGCAAGGTTTGCAAGATGGATTTTGTTCCAATCCCAGTAAAAATGCTCAGAAATCAACTGAACAGCAGCAGCAGCAGCACCAGAAGGCTGATTCCGGCCCGGTGAAAGAGCAGCCCAAGTATGATGAATGGACTACTTCTGATGGTTGGAACATGCCTGAAAATCCTTATTCTACTGTACCACCAGTACATGTTTTAAGACATCAGGGGATGACAGGCAGAGGAAAGTGGCATCCATTCAAGGGACAAAAGGGTGGAGGATACAACTATAATTCTGATCGCAAGAAAATTAATAATGGTGAAGCTGATAAACTTAACCCGCAATTGCCAGTCCCTGAGATGGTTCGAATCGTTCGATTAGCCTCACCTACTGAATCAAAAGAGAATCGTGGTGTTGGGAATCAGTCATCCTCTCATTGGCAACCCAAATCTTCATCCATCAATCAAAGAGGTAGCAGGCCTGATCCTGATCAAAATGTTGGTGCTGAATTTAGTAGGACAAACAGAAAGGATTCTGCTCCTCAGGCTAAGGTGTCACATCCATCTCAACCAGACAAAGAAACCAGTAAAGGAGTGACTCCGTCTCTTAAAGATCATGTCTCTGAAAAAGGAAGTATTGAAGAAGCACATAATGTCGGGTATCATGAATCTAAGAGAGGAAGGAATGTAGCTTCAGTTAAAGGACGCCTACACTCCCCAAACAAAGTTCCTGGTCTTCCAGTTGAGGCTCCTCTATCAAATATGGAAACAAGAAATGAGCAACGCTCAATCACAGGGTTCTGCAGAAATGGAAACCAAAATAACCGATATGGCAGAGCGCATGAGACACACGTGGATTGGGGCTCATCTGGTCAAGAATTGAAGCAGCAAAACACACCTGCAAAGTGCGAAAGGCAGAGGCATAACTCACATTACGAGTACCAGCCAGTTGGACCCCAAAATAATAGTAATAGAGCAAATAATCCCGAAGGGCAAAGAGATGGATCTCATGGCACAGGTCGAAGGTACAGGGAGAGGGGTCAGAGTCACCCAAGGCGTGGTGGGGGAAACTTCCATGGGCGTCCAAGTGGCACTGGTGGTTATGACTAGTGAGGAAGTACTTAAGGGGTAGGTATTTTATTTTATTTTTGGTCAAAAGCCGCTTTGTGCCATGGACAACAACAGTTTGAGCTCGTATTGTCAGGTATTCATTCATGAGTAGGCATCTTTTTGTGTTGAAAAAACTATTGAATCTTCTCTTAACTGATGGCATATGGATTGATTAGGGCTAGGCGAAAAACAGACGGTGTCCACGGGGAAAACACGATTGAAGGTACTCAAATGCGGTTTATTTCATTTGTTGTTTTCAACTGTAATTTGGTATGGCCACATTTTGGATACTGCGGAACCTTTGCCACATTTGTTTGAGCCTTGTATTTCAGTGAAGTAGAAAAGTTTTAGTCTCCCACTTCGTCTTCCTCATCACCTCTTATATATATAGTATGGTTTAGAAACCTATTTGCCAAATCATAGTTCTTTCAAACTTAATTCTCTAATTATACGTCTTTGATTTCATCATCGTTAGGTCATTTCATACTGAATCTTAATGTTAAATAGTTTAGTTAAATGGTCCAATATTTAAGTTGACGGATGGATGATATTACCTCTAGAATGAGTTTTTTTTTTCATTAGCTCATTTATTGTATTTTTTTAATTAGATAACTAATTATTTATAATATAAAATTTTTAAATATTTTTATTTCATATCAGTCTAATATTTGAATAGTGTTATGTATATTTAGGTCGTGTTTTAATATTTTATTAAGAGAAAATAACTTCAGTGACCGAAAATGTCTTAAAATATACGATTTTAATCAACTTTTTTTGGATTTGCTAAAATGACCAACAAAATCGTAACGCGAACTCTAATTCGTAACGCGATCTCCATTATGATAGTATTGTTTACCATTACGATAGTAATGTTTACCATTACGAAAGATGAATTACGTTGGGTCAGCGATTGGAATCTTCCGAACAAGAAGAGTACATTGTTGTTCTCCAATAGCTAGGGCCATTGCCTTTCCTTTATTCCAGTGTAAGTAAGTCAATTTTCCCTGAAAAAGATTTTTCCAAACTGCATCTTGTAATTCCCGGTCACTGATTTGACCTCCCTTATAGCTCTGTTCCATGTCAAGACTTCTGTTATGGTAATATAAAGAATGCTAGAAAGCAGAGACCTATCCTAAATTCTTCATTTCTGAAACTAGTAAAGTTTATGCAGTAGAACAAATCGGAAGCATAATCAAACCACAGAAGCTGTCTAAACTTTTAAAAGTTCTATTATCAACAGAAGAAGTTGTCAAACCACAAAAAAATTCATTCTTAAACAAAATTAAACTTAAATAAATTCATACACCATTAAAGAGAATTCAAACAAAAAAATCTCAAGTTTGAAGCTTTTTTGCATCCTTCTTGACAGGAAACAACAGTACTATCGTAAATTCGCAATGGTGAACACTTCTATCGCAACGGTGAACAGTGCTATCGCAACGGTGAACAATGCTATCGCAATGGTGAACAATATTATCGCAATGTGAACAGTACTATCGAAATGGTGAACAGTGCTGTCACAATGCGATTTTTGAGAATCGCGTTGCGATTTTGGAAACTGAGTTGAGAAATTATAGTTCGCGTTGCGATTTTGTTGGTCATTTTGGCAAATCCAAAAAAAGTTGGTTAAAATCGTATATTATAAGACATTTTCGAACACTGAAGTTATTTTCTCTTTTATTAATGTGATATTTATGAAATTTTTAATATTATTTTTAAAAAGTATTTAAATATTTAGTTTATAATAAAAATTTAATTGAGATAATGTATATTTGTTTTAAGTTTAAACTTTATATTTTACATGAGCGTTTCCCTTGATGTGTTGATTCGAAATTTTAGGAATATCTTTTTTCTGCTTCTTTAGGATTTGGAAAAATAATATAGTTATTTGCACTTGTTGAAAAGATTGATCATCTAAGAATAAATTTTCAACTTTATTTCAAATATCTTAAACAATTAGTTTTAATCACTAAAAATAGTCATATTATATGCTATGGTAAAAACAAAAATAAGATATTTATTTATGTAAATTTATTTTTAAATACTATTTCTTATATTAATCATATCAGTAATATATTAAATATGAAGTTTTTATAAAAAAAAATTAGATAATGTAACGAAAACAATTCTATTTACTTTTTTTGTAAATATTTTTAATTTAATACTGTTCGATGTGAGTTGATGATTAGTAGATTCAGGGTTCAACATCACTCTCTACAGAGGTCGAGATCGAGGTGAGGGTGGTAACGGTAGACCAACCAATCAAAGGATGATGGTTCGTCTTGGAGCTTCTTAGACTAAGACTAGAGGTCCAACACAAGTTATGCACTTAGAGAGTTGCGTGTATCGATCAAATAACTTTATTTGTAGTATTTTCCATTGCATTCTTTGGTTGATTTGGGATAGTTGTATTATTATATTCTAAGTAGTCTAATTGATCGATTAGGGATGTCGACCGAAGTGAGTGAGTTGGATATGTAGTACTAGTGCTCTTAGTGATATTTTCTTAGTGAGTTAAGTTTATCATAGCTTCTTAGTAATGTCTTTGTCATTTGATCCAATAGCTTTCCGTTAGATAGGAACATATTAGATAGCAACAACCAAACACACTCGCCAATCTTCGTCGATGCATTGCATCAAATGACACAAAATATGATTACTAACAGCAAGGAGTAGATCCAAACATCATCGAGTCAAATCAATTAAACCAGTTTTCTCTCTAAACCAAAATATCGAATAAAATTACCACAATCACTTTCAACACCCATATATTAATATTATTTTTAAATACCTAAATATGAATTTTAAGATCATTTCTAACCTATAAATTAGCTCAATTCTGAAAAATATCATTTTTTTTTGGAAATTTCGGCCAAAAATAATCTTACTTAATCTTCAAAACTAGATTAGAAATATTTTTTATATTGATAAAATATGATTATTTATGATATGCTAGACGAAAAATACTTTATAAATCATTAAGAACTAAGTTTAGAACACAGAAATCAGATTTTACAATTTATTAAACTTGATTTTCGTTTAGATTTTTTCATAGGATTTAAAAAAACATAATTAGATGGATCAAGACTCACTCTAAAAAGAAAAATCACAACGATTTAATGAAACTAATGAATATCTTACCTCATATTCAAAGGAGAACGAAAATGGAGATTGATTTCTTGAAAATCCCTTAAGAAAGCAATGAGAAAATGATTAGAAAGTAGAGAGAAAATTGAGAGGATTCTAAAAGTGTTTTTAGAGAGATCAGTGAGTGTTTAGGAGTTTTGACGAATGTGAGAGGTTAGGTGGTTATAAAAGAATAATAATTACGAAAAAATATAAAGAAATTAGTTTACAAAATAGGTGTAAAAAATATGATGAAAATTAGGAAGAAAAAAAAAAGTTGTGTTAACTAGCTTTTGAAAATTTATGGTATAATTGTTTATGGAGACTTAGAGTTATTTATCTTTTATAAAACAATTCATTTTACTTAATTATAAGTAATTTTAAATTAGTCTTCTAGAAATTTTCTTATTTAAAAAGAACTCCTTTTAGTTAAAAGTATTTAATGAATATTCTAAATTCCAAAAATCATTTTTTAATCATTCTCCAATTTAATATTATTTTAGCCAAAATTAATCTTATTTTTAAAAATAAAAATTATTTTTTAGAAAATATAAGGAAATATGAACATGATATCTGATTATTTACTCGATTATACTAATCTAGATTTTGAGGCGTTACAAATCTTGCCTTCTAGAAATAAATTCTATCCTCAAAATTACTTGCATCGAACAAATAAGGATATTGACGTCTCATTACATTCTTGGACTCCCATGTAGCTTCCTCCGTTTTTTGGTTGGGTCATAAAACCTTTATCAACGAAACCCTATTACTACATAAATATTTTACCTTTCTGTCACACCTCTAATATCGGTCTTGTATTTTTTTTTTCAATTTTCAATGATAAAAAAATATTTTTTTCTCTCTTTCAATATTTGAATCAAACTGTCGAATAAATAAGTTTAAGTTTTCAATAAATTCTAAAACAATTTAGGTTAATCTTCAAATTATATGAATAAGGATTGAAATAAAAAAAATGAGAAATTTGTATCTAGGAATGTGAGAAAAGGTTGGAAGCTCATTCATTTGCATGTAAAAGTTCAAGTACCAAGTCTTTAATTTACCCAAAATCCTTTAAGTGGTGATTCATCATCTAGGTGTCACCAAATGCAATCTTTAAGATATTTTTCTAATTAATAAAATTATGGTGTGTTTCACGTCAAATCCATGGAGAGAGAGAAATTATTTTTGCTTAATCTTCTTTCTTATCTTTTCCACCGTTAAAGAATTTCCCTTAAGCATTCATAGCTTTCCAAATCAAATTCACACAATCTAGCCATTAAAATTTAATTCTAATCACATATTTGATAAGCCCATTACCTTAGTTTTCTTTCGGTACCAATTTTATTATGTTTTGGAGTATAAATGTTCTTGAATCATAAACCCTTAAATATGGATATTTGTGTAATTTAGTGGTTATCTTTTGTAATATAAGTAATTCTAAGTTTCATGGTAGTTTTTCCATGTTTTTTTAAGGCTTTTGAACTTTAAAGCCTAATCATTTGAAAATTTAAGGTTCATATCAATCAGTATAATTTGATGTTATTTGTTCCTATGTGATTGCTTAATTATATGTTTAATTCTATGTATGAAGTAAACCGGTTGAAGAAACTCCTATTTTGAAAAGAGAATCAAACCTTCAAGATTGGCAGAGTATGTGATGAGTGTAGTTTATGTGTTGGGTGACTTGGTGTCATTCCAATTCGACACTTTAACATTTTTATAGGTGTTCAATTGATGTATTTTGGGCTCACATAGAGCATTAAATGACAAAGTGAATATCAAGATAAATTTGGTAAGCTTATTTATCCTATAATGCGTTTCAAAAACATGTTAGGTTAAGTTTATATGACTACGATGTGTGTGATATGAAAACATGAAATAAATAAATTCGGTATGTAGTATGAAACAAAATATGTTATGATAAGTTCTCTGTGTTCATGATATGTGTACTAAGCAAGCATGTAATATGTGAAGATTTAATGTTATGTTACTTATAAGAATGAAAATAAGATAAAATGTGTTATGAAAACATGAATCAAAACATGTTATGAATGATAATGAGTTACAGCTCACTTGATACGCCAAGATATAGAAACTATATGAATGATAAGGAGCTACGACTTATTTTTTACACAAAGATAAGAAACTATGTGAAAAGATATGTTAAGTACTGCCCTTGAATGATAAGTTTAGTTTGGATACAATTGCATGCCATAGAGTCCATTGTTAGGGTTTGGATTAT